CCCCTGTCAGCCATCATGTGTGTTACCCCCTGCCCCCACTGCCTGCAACCTTGCTCTGCCTCAGAATCCTCAGAAGGGACCAAGTCCAACCCTCACTTTAACCTTGATGACATTAAGGCCCAGAGAAGGGAAATGACATGCCAAGGTAACATAGCAAGTGAGAAGCCAGGCCAGAATGTTGGTCGCTGCACCATGTTACAACCAGCACCTTATTCCTGAAACAATGAACTGCAAGAACACGGATCCCCACGGCAAATCCTTGAACAGCTCTGAAAGGCAAGCACAATTTTCTGAAGATGAGTGTGGCATAAATAATTCATAAATGAAAGTCATAGCACATATTGGTCATTTTAATAGATAGTAAATTGCCTTTCTGATTTATGGTTTTGGGGTGGGGTTATGATAAAAATAACTTGGTGATTTATAAAACATCTTCTTAAGTCAACAGATCGTTAGTAGGTTTGTCTGACTTTACAGCCAACAGCTTTACCACCCAGGTTACCATAGAAATGGGATGCCTCGCTCTGTTGCCATGGCTACCACTTTCTAGAACACAATTGGTGGGTTTCTCACGGATAGTGATTTGGTTCTGGAAAAAATAAAAAGAGCCAGAAACTACCAGCTTGGGTTTATGTCACATTGTCAGGCAATCTCTCCTACATTGTCTTGAAATTTTACAGCCACAGAGCTGGCCAGGTGGTGTGACAGTTGCCCCTAGGCTGGCTGGCAAAGGTCCCTTGGTGCCTCTAGTCAGACTAGGAGCCCAGAAGGGACAGGCTTCACAACAGGCCATGGGTGTGGTGGGGCTCAGCTGCTGCAGGAGTGGGGTGGCAGAAACAAGACCTGGCAGGTGATGGGAAATCAGAAGGCCCTGGGATGGGGATCAAGGCCCAGGGACAGGAAGTCCAGAGCCAGCATCATCTGAGCAGGCAGGCTCAGGAAGGGCCAGGGAGGCAAAGGCAAAGAGAGCTGTACCTACCCATGTTGTGGGGGAGAGGTGAACATCACCTCCCAGTGGGGCAGGGTGGGCAGAGCAGTACCTGGGGTCTGTGTGCTCGTAAGTATGCTGCATGGTGCCACCACTGCATCATCTGTGTGCTCTCGTGTGTATCCGCATGAGTTGTGTGTATGCACGTGCATTTGCACCTTTTGATATAGCACCTGGGTGTATCTGTTTGGTGTGCAGTGACATGACTCAGTGACTCTACTTGGACTCTCACATTCTATGTGTGTGACCAGGCATTGAGCTGTGGTTCATGTGTCCTTGTGCTCAGTGTTGGTGCTTAGGTGACAGGTGAGGTGTGTTCTCTGGGTGGTGGTTGTGTCTGTGATCTGTGGGTGACAGTTTCATGTTTCTGGGTGACTGGGGACTTGGAGGCAGACAGCTCATGGGGGTGCAGCCTCCCTGCCCTTGCCCTGGGGTTGATAAGCCCAGGGTCCTGCAGCTGCTGCTCAAGGATTATCATTCTGAGTCTGCTAAGCAGGGCTTCCCTCCCTGCCAGGGGTCAGCTGATCCCAGGCCTAAGCCCACACCTATGCCCACACCCTTCCCTGTCCCATTGGCTCAGCTCCCCAGAAAGTTCAGGTCTTCTCCTCAGTGGAAGAAAGAAGCCAGTCAGGGACACAGGCTAGGCTATCGAAGGATGCTGTCATCACTGGAGTCCACCCAGAGAGCTGCTCCTGCCCCAGGTCCTAGCAAGTTGTGGGCAATGAGGCCTAAGAATGATTCCAATGTGTCTGAGCTCCTGCCTGTGGGCCCAGGTGCCATGCTGTGTCTGTCATAAGGGAGCTCTCAGGGAGAGCTGGGCTGTGGGTACCAAACTCCAGGATAGAACCATCCAGACATAATCAGGCCAGCTGCAAAGTGGGATGAGTTGTGTTCTTTTGCCCCAGGAGCTTTGGAGACTTGGAGATCAGAGCTCAGGTTGCAAAGCTTGGTAAACCTGGGTCCAGTCTCAGTCCTCACTGGCTTTCAAACCTAGGCTTAGTCCTTTAACCTCTTGGTACCTGGCTTTCCTTCTTAACATATGTCAGTACAAGGATTAAAGGCTCATGGTAGGTCCTCAAGCTCTGCTTTCCTCCTTCTTGAGCTCAGCCAGCCCTAGGCATGAGCAGAGAGAACTGGAGGCTTGACTGCTGTCACTTTGGCTGTGTCCTTGGTTATCCATCTACTAGTCTCTGGATTTGGAGAATGTTGGAGTCTGAGCGAATCAGGAGCGGCTTGCTCCACAGCCCTCTAAGGGTCCTCTCAAACCTGAATGTTGCTAGAGCTCTGCCTATGAGGGATGATGGCCACGCTTTGAGGCAGCAGAAGCCAAGAAAGCAGGCACCCAGGGAGCCTCTGTAGGGAAGAAGGCCTAGCCTCCACCCCTCCAGCTCTTCAGGGGAAGAAATCTTAGTGTCTAGCTCTAGGCTTGGTTTCTACTGCCTTCCCTTCATCTGCCCACTCCTTGGGCAGTGGATATCAGGCTATAGTTAATCCTGGAAAACCAAGGACTTTTCTATACAAATCTTACAAGGCCTGACCTCCTTCTGGGCCTCAGTTTTCCCATCAGGATCTGTAGTAAGGTAGGGCAAATGAGAAGAGAGCTAGAGGGCCTGCAAGGGTACCTGGGAGTTAGAAGGCTCCTGGGATATCAATGCCTTATCTGGGCTATTCCCACGAGCCTCCCTAGTCACTATAGAGCCAGGTTGGAGACAGATTCTCTGTCTCCCTAGGGTGAATATAGAGACTCCTTGGGGAGTCCCTTTATTTACAGCCTTATAGAGACCACAGTGCCAATGAGAGCCTCACCCCAGGGAAAGAGATATTAATGAAGGGTGAATGGGGTTTTCCCAGACAGATTGAAAGGGACACTCTCCCTCCCATAGAAGGTATAGCAGGTGCAAAGCCATGAAAATGGGGGAGACACTGCGGTCAGAAATGGCAGAGTTTCACATGGTATGAATGTTGGGGACATGTAGGAAGAGGACCTTGAAAAGCCAAGTGAGGCCAGGGCATGGAGAGTCTCATGTTTCAGGCTGGGGAGTTTGGGCTTTTCTCTGTAGGCAGCATGGGCAGAGCTGGGATGCCCATGGGCAGCTCCTTCTGATGGCTGTGTGGCTGAGAATGAAGCCTTAAACCTGTGTTGATGGGGGGTGGCCGGGTTGAGAGAGAACACAGAGGAGGATGGAAGTGGGAGAGCTCAGGATAAGGGTGTCCTGGCTGGTGGTGCAGCAAGAAAGGAGGTACCTCCTGGCTTCACCTTTGGTCAGATCAGGAACTCCGGGTGCCATGGGCTGTGCCTCTGAGATGCCCTCAGACTCTCACAGGGTGCATATTCCTCTCCGCTCAGGACAAGGCCCAGGCAAGGGGCATCACCTATCCTTAAGGAGTCTGGATTGTGAGTGCCAAGCTCCAAAATGGAGCCCCCAGAAGAAACTGGGCACCAGATACCCAGCAATGGGGATTTTCCCCCCTAGTACTAGAGATAGAACCCAGGGCCTTGTACACGCTAGGCAAGTGCTGCTCTACCACTGAGCTACATCCCCAGCCCAGGGGTGTACTTTTTAGCTCCAAGAGGTTTGGTTACTCTAGTGATGGAAAGAGTTTGGGAGCTTGGTGAACTTGAGTCTGAGGTGGTAGCCTCTTCCAGTTGCCTCTGCCTTGCTTTCCTGATCTTTCTCTGTGGCCTCCCAAGTCTGAACTATCTGCATCTTGAAGAAAGAGCTTTCTGGAGTTGGAAGACCTGGCTGCGGCCTCTACCTGCCTGTCTCAAGGGTGTACAGATTGTTCTCACCTTTTCCCAGCCCCTCTTGGGGCTGAGGGGGCTCATCTTTAAGCCCTGTGCATTGTATACTCATCTCTGTATGGTCCTGAGGACCATAGGGGGGCTCCTGAGGCTGGACAAGGCTTTGTTCAACTCTGTGCTTGTCATAACCTTGTGCCTGGTGAAGATTGCCAAGAAAAAAGGATGGAGGACTGAACCAATAGGTGGATGGACAGGTGAAAGGAAAGGAGGGGAAAAAGTGGAAGGGGTTATAAAAAGAAAAGAGGAGGGAAGGAAAGAAGAACAGTAGATGAAAGTAAGGGAAGGAAGGGTAGAATGAACACACAAAGGAAGGAGGACAGGAAGGAGTGTGAATGGGTGAACAGATGGAAGAAAGGAAGGGAGGGAGAGAGGTAGAAGGAAAGAAGCATGAGTGGACAGATGGATGGTCATTCTGAAAATCTGACTTTGTCCCCCCTTCTTCCCCCTCCTCTCCCCTAGTCCACAATGTGGTTTAAAAAATCCATACAGTTCTTAGTTCCCAGATCCCTGCAAGATCAAGTGCCAGGCCCCTTGGTCACAGTCAACTGGGTCATTCTGAGACTCCCAGTGTGGACCCCCCACCGTGGGGAGTGGGCATCATAGCAAACTCAGGCAATTGCCAGAGGCTTTGTGGCTGCCTTCTGCTGCTGACCTGGGGTGCGATCTTGACACTCCTTGATGGAAATAGACAGGAGTTGGATAGAAGAAAGATGAGAAATGCAGCCCCTGAATAGCTGATGCCCCTACAGCTGCCCCTCTCATTTCTTTGTGATCTTCAGCTCCAGCAAGCCAGGTCACCATGATTAGTCAGGGTAGCTAACTCTTTAACAAATCACCTCCAAATTGCAGTAGTTTAAGACAATAGAAGTTTATTTCCCACTCAGGTTCAATGAGGGTATTTAGTAGATGTCTTTCTTTCCAGGGACCCAGGCTCCTTTCCTCTGGTGACTGCTGGCCCCTAGGGCTTCAGTGTCTGGCTGGCAATGGGGGTAAGAAAGTATGGAAGATCAAGGAGGAGGGTTTTACCAGCTGGGCCTGGCAGTAGTGCACATGCCTCTGCTGAGGAAAATGTGGCATGTCAGCTAAGGTCATGTTGGAAGGGGCCCTCGGTGGGCATCTTCCCCTGCTCTGGCCCTCTGCCTGGACCCAGCTTTCTGTAGTCTGGGTGGGAGGGCTTCCCCTCTGACACTCTGTGTTTCTTGCCCACAGTATGTGGCCTTTGCCTCCCTGTTCTTCATCCTGGTCTCCATCACCACCTTCTGCCTGGAGACCCACGAGCGCTTCAATCCTATCGTGAACAAGACAGAGATTGAGAATGTTCAGAATGGCACACAAGTGCGCTACTACAGGGAAGCGGAGACAGAGGCCTTCCTCACCTACATCGAGGGCGTCTGCGTGGTGTGGTTCACCTTTGAGTTCCTCATGCGTGTTGTCTTCTGCCCCAACAAAGTTGAGTTCATCAAGAACTCGCTCAACATCATTGACTTTGTGGCCATCCTCCCCTTCTACCTGGAGGTGGGCCTAAGTGGCCTGTCCTCCAAGGCTGCCAAGGATGTCCTGGGCTTCCTGCGAGTTGTTCGCTTCGTGCGCATCCTGCGCATCTTCAAGCTGACCCGCCACTTCGTGGGCCTGCGTGTCCTGGGCCACACACTCCGTGCCAGCACCAACGAGTTCCTGCTGCTCATCATCTTCCTGGCCCTGGGCGTGCTCATCTTTGCCACCATGATCTACTATGCTGAGAGGATAGGGGCACAGCCCAACGACCCCAGTGCCAGTGAGCACACGCACTTTAAGAACATCCCCATTGGCTTCTGGTGGGCCGTGGTCACCATGACGACACTGGGCTACGGAGACATGTACCCGCAGACATGGTCTGGCATGTTGGTGGGAGCACTGTGCGCACTGGCAGGCGTGCTGACCATTGCCATGCCCGTGCCTGTCATCGTGAACAATTTTGGGATGTATTACTCCTTAGCCATGGCTAAGCAGAAACTACCAAAGAAAAAAAAGAAGCATATTCCGCGGCCACCGCAGCTGGGATCTCCCAATTATTGTAAATCTGTCGTAAACTCTCCACACCACAGTACTCAGAGTGACACATGTCCGCTGGCCCAGGAAGAAATTTTAGAAATTAACAGAGCAGGTAGGAAACCTCTTAGAGGCATGTCGATCTGACCTTTCACCTCCGCCCCCTGTAGCGATGATTCCAGATTCAGTCAAACTGCTTCCTTAGTTCTGTGGGCGACCCCGGACCCTGCACTCAGTCTCGAGGTGTGGAGCCTGGGGACCCAGGGAGATGCTGGCAGCCAAATTCAGAAGGCAAGAGCCTGCTAGAGGAACCTCACTGGTGGCCCCGGGTAAGGAGGTTGATGCGGTTGGTCTCGTGACGTTCTGAAGAGACCACGTGGCCCGTGGAGTTACTGAGGACTATCTTAGCAGGAGCCCCGGGGGCTGCTGCTCATGTGTGCAGGAGTCAAGCATGAGTCTCTGACTCAGGCTACTGACCCAGTGTTGGGGCAGGATGGGGGCGGGTATGATTCGGAGATGCCAGGTAGCTTCTGATTTGGTCCTTAACACAGCATCCTTTAGGCTGTGTAGACAGCAGAAATTGTTCATGGGGTCTGGGCAGGAGGATCCCTGCAAAGGCAGTAGATTCTCAGCCCCACAAGAACCATCTCCATAGCTGAGTAGATTCCTGCTCTGATTCCGGCTGTCTAGCTCCAGGTCCTTCTTAGGAGATGCCCCTAGCCATCTGTGACAAGCTTACTTACCCATAGCATGCCGAACCAACTCATCTTCTACCACCACTCTAGAGTTTAGCATTTATCTTTAGGAACCTGTTGGAGTGACTCTGGCTTTCACGGTGTCTGTTGGGGTTGATGGTCCAGTGGGAGTTTCTGGTGACCTGATGGAAGCGCTGGTGAGCAAAGGATTAGGGGGGGCCACCACCCTGGGCAGCTTAGATGAAAGTGCTACAGACCAGCAACAATCTCCACCAAGGGTTGTTCCCATGTCCGGTGGTAGGGACTGCAGCAGCAATACTAGACATCCCAACCAGTGTACAACCACTTTCCCGTGAATTCACTGGGGGCTGGGGGGGAGGGGGGCCATGAAATAATACTAGTCACCATGGGATATATTCTAATATTCCATGGCTAGTGGTTCATTATGGGACTATCTCAGTTTTATGAGAATCTGCACATAGCACATAAAGTTGATCATGGGGCTCTGGTCTGAAGATATAAAGCCCATAGTCTACCTCTACCCATGGAATACCATCGACTTATTCTGTGGACACAGGGATCTCAAAGGATTGGATGACCCAGAGAAGAATGACAACAATGAGCTAAGAAGGATCACCCGGGTGAGCACGAGGTTGACAGGAGAGGTTAGTCTGTGAAGGACATCCCCAAGCCCAGGTCTGGCATGGGGGCTGCAGACTAGCTCAGACCCAGATGAGGAAGTTTCCCTTTGGTTCAGTTGGCCTCCCCCAGTGGTGATTGATCTCCTTCCCTGCCCATGTGCTCTCTGACCCACCCCCTCATCCTCATTCTGTTTAGGCTTCATCCCATAGCTAGGCCAGCCAGAGCAGTATTTCCAAGGCCCGCTTCTCTTCCCCTTTGCCCTCCCCCATACCCTCTCCCCTGGGATTTCTGTATGCACTTGAGAGGAACATGGCTATTGTCTTGGGCTGGGTCAGAGGGTGGACAGGGGTCTCAGAGGCTGAAACAAGGGCCTGGGGTGGGGAAAGTCTTCCATCCAAGTCATGACTGTCCATAGAAAGCCCTGCCCCACCCCTCTTCTTCAGATTAGCTAGCCATTTCACCACAGGATCCACCATCAGGGCAAGGACAGTTCCTGGGGCTCTGGGGGAAGGTCTGGGCTGGCCTAGCTTTCAGCTCCACTATGGGCCCCAGCATGCTCAGCCTGAAGGGTGCCATCATGACACTACTTAATCCTTCCTCTGCATCCTTCCTGACACTCCATCTTTCAGGACTGGTATCCAAGCTTAGGAGCTGCACACGCACACCAGCCAGTCAAGGATCTCCATTTTACTCCAGGCAGGCCCAGATTCTTCTGTATGCCTAGACAATGGTGATATTATCCAAGTGCTGAGGACACACACACAGGAGTGTGGATGTGTGTATTCAGACTTAGAAACCAGCTACTTCCAGGGACATAGCCCCCTTCCCATGCTGCAGCAGACCTGCACTCCTATGGGAGGAATTCCCCTGAGTTCCACAGTCCTTCCCCAGCCTTGGCAGCCCTGCCCCTGGGAGACACTTTGCTCTGGCTTCAGGTTTGAGACCCCAAGAGTCTGGGGTTTGGATAGTTCTATAGCTAAGGAGATGTGTGGGTGCCCTCTGGAACCTAGATGACTAGACCCTCCTGCCTTCCCCCTCCACCTCATCCCACTTGCTGTGTTCCCATCTCCTTCCCAAGCACCTGGTGGTGTTGGTGCTGTCCTAATGTTCAGACCCCCCCAACCAGGCTCTGAGACCCCGTTTCCACTCTGAGCCTCATCCCTCCAGGCAGTGAGACCTGGATTATGTGCCACCAGTAGGATATGGGTCCTAGGGGAGTGTCCTGCCTCATCTCTGTGTCCTGGCCTCCCTTTCCATTTTCCTCTGTTTCTGCTTGGAACTGTGTGCCCAGATGGGTACGGGCTGGGGGTGAGTTTGTGAGAGAGTGAGGGAGAAGCCAGAGGCAAGGAAGGTAGTGGTGGTGGTGGGTAGAGACCAGACCCTCCAGGGATTTGGGCAGGTGAAATGCAGCAAACTCCATCCAGGCCTTTCCAAGGGCAAGTAAATAGTTCCATAAAACCCAGGGTTCTCCAGTTTCACTTCTGAGACCTGTGGGACCAAGTGTAATATGTGGTCCCTGAGGGCATCCCACTCTCACCTTCCTGCCCAGGCTGGGCCCAGGACTGAAGCAAGTCCTCCTGGCTGGGTAGTTGCACCTTCCTTTCACCTCCACCTCTTGGCCACTCCTGAAACTTCAGTCTGTGGGTCTGTCCCAGGTTTGTTCTGACCTCCTCCTCTGAGCCATGTCTGATGGCCTCACTGTTGGGAGTCTTGTCCTGGGGAATTGTCAAGGACCTGGTTGTCAACTTGACTGTGGGTCCTCATAGGGGGAGGCTAGACAGGCCCAGCCTGGGTCACTGGTGACCCAGAAGAAGCCGCCTCTTTCACTAAAAGGGGCAGCCGGGGCCCAGACCACCTGTTCTGGGCAGCTTAGAGTACTCCCTTTGTTCTGCCATGTTCATTCACATGTGTCTTGTCCATCTCTGCTGCTGTGATGTGGGTTGATCCTTTGTGGTGCGGCGTTCAGGAATACAGGGTCTCATCATAGGTGAGCAGGAATGGCGAGGAAAGAGGGATGGTGGTATGTATGCAGGGCAGCAGTGAGGTCCCAGAGAAGCCCCTACCTCAGCTTACTGGGACCATTGAGGCCTCTGGGTCATTTTTGGGTGAGGGGTTCCTCCCCTGAGAGCAAAGTACAAAGTCCCCTATCTCTGATCCCTCCGCCTGTCTCCTGGTGGGCTGCAGTGGCTGCCCAGGAAGTGGTGCTAACCTCGGGGCAGGGAGGGTGATGGGATTGGGGGCAGAGTTGACCAGGCAGGATGTGGGGCTGAAAAGTCTGTGTGGGCCCAGCAGCAGAGTTGGCAGCGTGGACCCTGAATAGGGTCCTTGTTGTCCCCAGGTGGGCTAAGGGGGAAGCAGTGGAGAAGTGCGCTGACTCTAAAGGCCAGGCATGGGTGTTCTTTTCCATGTTGTTCACATTCTGTCTTTCTCTCTCTCCACTAATCATGTCTCCCTCTCTTCTCTCTCTCTCTCTCTCTCTCTCTCTCTCTCACTCTCTCTCTCCTCATTTTGTTGCATGACTTGTGCTGGTTTTCGTGAATGTCTTTCTCACAGACTGTCCCCATTTAGCCCGGGATGTTTTCCCCTGAATCCCCAGCTGGACAGATCCCTTGGGGGCATACCCAGGGAAATGCCCAGAAACCCCCACCCCACCCCAGCCCTGCGTGCGCCGCGGGCGCCCATGCTGGTGTGAACAGTAAGTACATCGCGGTGCCTGGAGACGGGCAGTAAAGGCAGCCTGCTGGCTGAGGGCCCCACCACATAGTTCTCCTTGCTCCAAAGTTTAAAAAAAAATGACCCTCTTGCGGACGCTCATCTCAGCCCATTTCAAAGCCTGGAAACCATCTCTGAGACGCTGCCCATGTTGTCATTTCATCATTGCAGCCTGTGGGTCTAGTAGGGGCCCGGGGGCCCTGAGCCAGAGGAGGCAGGGCCCCCAGCCCTCTGGAAAGCTGGTGGGAACTGAGGCTTCTAGCTGCCATCTCATCCAAAGATGGACTGGGGCAGCGGGTGGGGAATCTTGGTTTAGTTTGAATCTGTGGTCCTTTTCACTGGTTCCCCAGATTTAGACAGTTGGGTCTTTCCTGTCACCCTACTGGAGTTGGAGAAGGAGGATGCCCCAGTTTCTGAGAGTATCCTGAACTGCAGATAAACCAGCAGCCACTCAGTCTTAGTTTCCTCCTCAAAGATCAAGGCTGAAAGAAAAAGCAGGCTCAAGAGTGTCCTGGGAATCCCCCCAAGGTGGTTGCTCCTTGCCCCTGCCCCTTCAGAGAAAATGAGCCCCAACTTGGGCCCTTTAAAGTTGTGGGATTTGGGAGTCCTTGGGGCACGGGGACTTGTAGGCAGAGCTAGAGGAAAGTCTCTGACTGCACCATCTTAGTGGAGGCAGAGGCAGAGAGGGGCAGCTCTTCTGGACAAGAACTGCAGGCCGTGGTCATTTCCATTGATAGATCATGGCCAAGAAAGAGAACAAGCTCTCGGGCCCCTCCTAGAGGGAGCCGCTGCCTGGGAGAGCCTACTGGCCTTCCCCTGAAGGGAAACTCATGCAGGATACTATGGTCCCAACTGCCACAGCCTCATTTACTTCCACTTCATACTGTTTCCTTCCCTTCTGCCCAGTACCCTCCTCTGCCCTGAGATCCCTGGGGAGGGAGACAAGGGCCAACCAGAGTGCAGGCCCTCTAGCGTGTCTGTGAGCACACATGTGTGCCTGCAGACACGCCCCAAGGAGCTAGGCAGCCCCCAGCCCCAGTCACATGGTGTCAGAGTTTCCTTGGTAACTGGCCTTTCCGGTTCAGAGTAAATTGGGGAGTAAAGCCCCTGGGATTTGTCAAGAAACGCACTGTACGTGAAATGCTTTGCCATCTTGTATGAGAGACTTTTTTAAGTTCCAAAATTATGATGGGTTTTTTTTTTTTTGGATTTGCTTTAATGAATAAACCTGATTGGTCCATTTCTCTTTTGACTGACTGCCTCTTTGTAGTAACATGATGTGTACACGGGTGATGATCCCACCCACGTGTACGCCAAATGTGTGCACGCGGGAAAGGATCACTCTGCGTGTAGTTACATGATGTGAACAGGATCATGGGAAAGTGTCAACTTGGTGGAAATTGTCTCCGGCTTTCCCCCTCTTTAATCTTCTACAGAATCTCCCCTAACATGGTTGTTCATGTTGGTTTCCTTCCACAAAAGGGCTTCCACCCTAGATGCAGTGTTTAAGTTGGCTGTACCCTGGCCAGAAAGTTTCTGCTTTGAGGGCCGACAGCATGGAACAGGCTTAGTCCCTAAAAGTGATGGGGCAAGGGCAAAGGCCACCTTGGCCAACCCAAGCTGCCACCACTCTGCTCCTGGAATTGGGAGAGACAGGGTTCCTTGCTCTGGCCACACATTGCCCCCAGCAAATGTGCTCCCTGACCTCCTCTCAGCTTCCTTCTCAGGCGACCACAGAGGCCAAGACTTGAATTTTCTCCACCCAAGTCCATCAGCCACTGTTGTCTTCAACACATCCATTTGCTCTGCTTTGCCGGGGATGCTGACAGAGGAGACAGGAATGGGAGCCCCTCCCACATCCATGTCCCACCATCAAGCCTCATGCATACATCCCTGTTGTGCCTGTGCGAGCTGACCAGGCCTGCCAGAGCCTGTGGGCAACGATGCTGGCTTGGTGTGTGTGGGGAGCAGAGTGGACTGAGTGGTCAGTGTGGGTCTGCATGGGGACCAAGCAGATGGAGTGGTCAAATCGGATCTGAGTGCAGGGCAGAGTAAAATGTGTGACCAAGCCTAGTCTGCACAAGGGATGGGGAGTCAGAATGACCATATTGGGTCCTTATGGGAACAGAATAGAAGATGTACGCAGGCCTAGTCTGTACAGGGGACAGAGTGATCAGATTAGGTCCTTGTGGGGACAGAGTAACAGGTATGAGCAGGCCTAGTCTGTACAGAGGATGGGACATCAGAGCAACCAAATAGAGTCCATATGGAGTTGTGGGGGGTGGGTGGCGGAGAAATCAGAGTGTGTGTGTATGGGAGAACAGAATGAACCAAGTGATCAGATGGAATCTAAACAGAGGTGGAGTGGAGAAAATCAGGTGGGGTCTGGATGGGGAAAAGTCTGACTGGTTGGCTGAGTGTCAATGGAAGGTAGTTGGGCTCTGGTCAGTGGCAGAAGGGGGTCTGGAAGTCTGCCTCTTTGGATTGGAGCATTTCTGCGTGTCTCTCTGTCTGCTCCCTGAGCTCTGTGTCTGGCCCTCTCCCCATGACCACATCCACACCATGCTGTCTCATTGGCCCTGCCTTGGGCCCTGGGCCTGGCCCCCAGCACTGCATGCGGGGCCCATCACCAATTCATCTTTTTGCAAACTTTGAGCAAACCCAGGAGCCCCTTCTCCCTTCCCAGCACGGTAGGCAGCCTGTGGGCTGCCTGAATGAGCTGGGGCCTCCCCAAACCTTGCACCCTACTCCATGACCTGCCCACTTTTCCATCCTTAGGGATGGGCTTCCCTTTGTCAAATGTCCCTCCTCTGGCCTGTCCCCCCCTTCACTAAACAGTTTTAAGTGTCTCAATAGCTTCTGCTTATATGTTTGAAGATTCCAAACTGAATGGGGAGGTGGCGAAGGCCGCGCTGGCGAACGAAGACTGCCCCCACATAGACCAGGCCCTCACTCCCGATGAGGGCCTGCCCTTTACGCGCTCGGGCACCCGCGAGAGATACGGACCCTGCTTCCTCTTATCAACCGGGGAGTACGCGTGCCCACCTGGTGGAGGAATGAGAAAGGGTATGTAGAGGAAGCTGGAGCACTATGCATCGGCCGGGCCCGCCTCGCGCTCCTGCAGGTGGGTGGGCAGGGCGGCGGGCAAGGGACGCTGAGGGGCAGGCAGGCACAGTAAGGGGGGCAAGGATGGAGGGAGTCCCCCAGGGTTGGCCCCTGGAGGTCAGAGTCCCTTTCTCCCAAGTGAGATGTCAGGCTGGCAGAGAAAACCTGAGGCCCAGGCAGCTGTGGGTCAGTACTGAGCTAGGTAGTAGAAAGGGGACTGGCACAGGCTGGCTGACTGTGGGTGCACCTGAAGGCAGGGTGTACCCAGGGATGCAGGAGCAGCCTCGGCTTCACTAGCTTGGTTTGACAGGGGCAGGTCAGGTCCACAGGCAAAGTGATCTCTCTTCTCCCTTGATTGAGGAAGATGGTAAGAGGGGCCTGGCATAGCCAGGACCCTGTAAACTTATCTACCCAAGATCCATGTTATGGAAGAGGCATCCTTTAATAAGAATCCACAAGTCAGAAGGAGGGAAGGCATGAAGAGAGAGGTGGCTTCAGGGCTTGGGGATAAGGCCATTGTCCTTGCAGAGGTAAGGTGTATGACAGTGGCAGATAAAGTATTACTAGTGGCAGATAGAAAACTTGCCAGGAGGAGGTGGGTAAGCAGGACTCTGTACAGCCCCTTCCATCGCCAGTGCCCATTGGCCACTGCTGGTGTGCTCAGCGCCCCCTTGTGGTTGGCAAAGACTGAGACCAGTGGTAGCCTTTGCTCAAGTTCTCTGCACAGTCAGAAACTTCAGACTGACATGATGGAGACAGGCTTCTGTTAGAGCTTGAGCATGGGCTGGGGAAAGGACGGGTTGGGCTGCAGAGCACTCTAGGGCAAGGCTCCAGGCACGGCTGGGCTGGAAGGCAGGGCAGGCCTTTCTCTGTGCAGCAGGCTGGCTAGGCAGCTCTGCATGTCTTGGAGTGCCTCATATGCTCACAGGGTGCATGCCAATGAAGGGTCAGTCAAGTAGTCAGATTTTTGAGGGTAATAGTTGGTGTAGCTTGTGGCCATTGTCAACTGCTTCAGTATTTGAAACCAGATTCGAGAAGAAAACAGAATTTGAAATCAAAGGCAGACCTAGAAGAAGAGAAGCAGTGTCCAGTGAGATGAGGGAAAGTCCTTTGGGTCACTAGTGCTTAGTTGTGCCACCTGATCTAGGCTGGTCCCTGCTTCTTTGCCCTGCCTGAGGTCCCTCGGACCTCAGTGCGGTGTACCACTCCCCGCATGGTGCTGCATGGTGGAGGGCTGCCATCCTTGGGGAGGCCCCATTCTTGGCACTGTCCATGGATGGGTCTGCTGCTCCCCTTTGCAACTGGCTTTTTACCAGGTGGAGTCTCTAGAATGTTTAGGAGCAGGGGCCACCCTGGAGAGTAATGGGGGAAACAGGGAGACCATTTCCAGTAAGTTCTCCTGGGCTGCCTGTCTCCTTCATCTTGAATGTTGGCTCAGTTGATGTGACCTAAAAGAGCAGACAAGGGAGTCTCCTGCTATCTTTCCAGAAGCCCTGGGAATGTGGGACAGAAGCAGCCCCATCTCCCTGGAGCAACTGGGGAGCCCAACAGCAACCACTGTCCACAGGTGTTACCGTCTCCCAAGCCCACATGGCCTTAGGAGCCAGAGTCTTTGTGCCCTAGCCCTGTTCACCAGCCCCAGCTCTCATGGAATCCTGACAGCCACCAAGGACTTGCTTTTCTCAGGCTGATTCAGAGCCATAAGCCCTGCAGATGTTTTCTGAGTCCAGGTGTTTGGACTCAGAGTAGGAGAAGAAATAGGGACTCCACCGGTTTCCTCAGGAGGGAGAGAAAGAGGCTGCTAGGCTGGCTCGCTGCATGGGAAACCAGCCAGCTGGAGAAGAACCTGCCTGCCTCTGCATGCGGCTGTTCTGTCTTTCCTCCTCCTTCCTTAAAAACTAAGTACCAAGCGGGATGGGAAAGCCGAGAAGAGAAGCTCAAGTGTTAATTGTATTCTTTACATACAGATCTTTGCAAAGAAAGCCCTGTCATTGCTAAGTATATGCCGACAGAGGCTGTGAGAGTGACTTGACCAGGCGGCTTGGCCGAGGACACTGGTGGCTATTAAGCATCTGGGTGGACCTGCAGCCCCTCCTCACCCTCGGACAGAGTAAATTCACGCCATGCAGGTTTGCCGGACGAGTCCGAGTGGCCCAGGCATTGTGCTAGGACGGACGTAGCTTTTCCTACGGCCAAATGGTAACTGACCGTAGAGGATTTCTTTTCCTTCTTTTCATTTTTTAAAATTTTATTTTATTTGGGGAGGGAGGGTGGAGGGGTTCCTTAGCATGACTTGCATGAAGTTAAACAGAAAACCCAGCAAACCAAACCCACCAACCTCCCTGCAACTGTATGATTACCCTCAACAACAATAACAAGAAGAAAAAGAAAAAGTCCTATATTTTCTTTCAGAGCTCTTTACTTTTACACACATTGTTGGAGCCAAATTGTAACAGCGTTCAGTAGAAACCTGTACATTTCTGGGAGTGGGGGACCGGGGAGGAAGGATGGAGATGGGGAACAAATTACTTCTCCTTTTGTACACAAGATCGAGAGTAAAGGTTCCAAAAAGGGCAGTCGGTCAGTCATTGGTCATATTGACCTCACCTTCATAGTTCATCTCTCACACGGAAACTGAGAACTTTGCTCCAAATAGAATTGTGAAAACTCGCACTGCCGCCTTCTTCCCTCTCTGTTTGGCATGCTTGTGACCCAGCGGACGTCTCCCCAAGACCCCTGGCAGCGGCTAGTCTAGGTTGAATCTCTCATCATATCGGTGTGTAGATCCAGTGTGACCAACTTTCATAATAAATTGTTCATAGTAAATAATCAGCACCGTATGGATTTTCCAAGTGTTATTTTAAAACCAGGATGTAGAGCACCAAAAGTTCAGGACCACAGGAGGGGCAACCTCCTCCACCTTTACCAAGGCACAACCTGGCGATGTATGCAATTTAGTACTTCAGAGTAAAAAACTGCATGCCCAATGTTATGCAAAGCGATTCGAGCATGAAATAAATTTTGTATCATGGTTTCTGTATAGTCTAAAGCAGATTTGTTTTCCTGAAGCAATTGGAGGTTTGCAGAGACACGCTTCTGCATCTCGAATAAATATAGTATTTTCCCAACAGAAACAGAGGACAGTAGCTTGGCTTTGGTCTGATTCTAAAATTAGTGTGGGGGGGGGAGAAGGATGATATTTTTGAAAAACACATGCTTGAGTTGAAAAAAAATGCAACATCTCGAGCTTTCACTGCAGCTCACAACATTTCCTGGAAAGAGAGCAACGATGCTTTAGCTCAACAAACTCCCCTCCCCGGGCCCTGGACCCGGAAATAAAAAGCTGACTTCTGAGATGAAGCATGGATTCGGGTTTTTATTGCCTTCAGGCAGTGTCGCGATTCTCTTCCATGGCTGGGCTGGGATAAGCCTAGGCCCTGACTATGCTAATCTCAAGGACCCACCTTGAAGTGCTGTGGTCTGCTCACTGGGGGAAAGCTAAGCCCTAGGAGAAAGTTGCCCCATGCGAGGGGACTGGGCAGGGTGGCCCCTTGCACTACACATCCTTTTGGGCAGGGGACAGTTCCCAGAGGCACAGAGTGTATGAAGATCTGACAAAAACCCAGCACATCCTCTAGGGAGTTACCTGTCATGGAGCTTTCTCCCTGAATCATGCTATGTTGATGCATCCTTGAATCTGGCCATGTCAGTGCACATCCTGCTCCCACAATCCATGCAGACCTTGGTCACCTCCCTCTTAGGGCCATTGTTGTATCTGATGAAGCCCGAGACAGAGATCTGACTGTCAGGTCTGGGTGCCCTAGCTAAATGTATCCTTGCAGGGCCTGGTGACCCACTTCATTGAATACCCTTTCTCCCAATCTGAGGGCATCTTGGAAGGAGTGCAGTCACCTCCCAGGGATCTTGATTTGCTTCGGTTGTTCACTTGATTTCGGTGTGGGGCAGAGTGGCAGATCCAACACTTTTTCCTATTCATTAGAGACTTGATGAATGCGGGTGGAAAGCTCCTGAAGGTCAGGGCAGTCAACCTCTGAGCATTTTTTGAGAGAAGGAAATGAGGCCCAGAGAGGAAAATGATCTTTCCAGGGCTACTAATAAGTGAGTGTCCGTATTCCCCTGGTTTCAGTTCCTTGGACACCTCCCAGCATGACCTGAATCAATGATCTGAAGAGTGGGTGGGAGGCAGAGGAGGGTGCTAAATTTTCATCTAATAGTTTCTTATCTCCTCAAAGTATTTTCTAAACTTCCTGATGCCCTGTGAAGTCTAAGAACAGAGTGTATGGGGAGGGTGGAGCTTCTGCCCAGGGGTTAGGTGGCTAAGGGGCCATGACAAGAAAATGTTTATGCTCCCCAAGGATCTGCCATCAAAGAAGAGCCTCTGGTGAACACCAAGTCTTTGGGAATATGGGTTTCCAGGGACACAGTAGCTCCTGGAGAAAGGAGATTAATATACACTGCATATCTACATGGTGGGGGGACATCTTAGAAATGTTGTCTAATGATAGCTCAAAATAGTCCCATTTTAGAGACAAGAGAAAAAGGTACAAAGGAGTAAAGTAACTGGCCCAAGCCATATGGCCAATGAATGATGAAGTCAAGATTTTAACACAAGTTATCTGACCCCAGAGCTTAGGTTAATCTGACTCAAGATAATAGAGGCTTCCTGGGGATGACCCTGAGAGGTGCAACTGATAGGAATACTAGAGTTGCTGGTCCTAAATCTCAGGCTCTCAGGACTTGGCCTCCTGACCTTCTTCATGGAGCACCATGGATGGGTATGACAAGCAGGGGTCACTTCACATCCTGCCTTTTCTCCCACACACAGAGGGACAACTTTACTCTCTTTCTTAAACATCTCACTGCCCTAACAATGAAGTTTAAGCTCCCTTGATTAGTTTTTATAGAGGCTACCAGCCTCCCCAATCTCTGCTCCTCATGCCCACCTCCCTTTGTGTGCTCCAGTCACTCTGAAAGTCTGAATTTATAGCAGTTACCCATATGTGCCTGAGGACTTGGAACCCTCTCTTTGTAACATCCCCACCACGTCCCCACTAACTTTGAATGCTAACTCTCAACTTCCATCCATCACTAAGTCATTTCACTCAGAAGTGCAGAAGGGCTTGGAGTGGTGGGAGGGCTTTATTCTGAGCAACAGGCCTGGATTCACAAGCACCATTTCATCTATGGTTGGTCTGATGGCTCTCACAACCAACCAGGGCCAAGAGTGGTGGTGGGGGGTTCAAGGGAAGATGGGGTGCCTGTGATCAGGAAGGAAGAGTGAGTGTGGTAGATAGGGATGGACACATCCCACCAATATCCAGTACATGCTGGACTTTCAACAATCACCCCAGGGGTCAGGCCAAAGACCTGTGAGCACACAATGGGTGGGGCGGGGGCTTGTTCAGCTCTTGAACTAATTTACTTAGTTGATCAGAAAAAAAGTAATTTTAAAAATGAATGGGCATTTTCTCAAGCTAGCTCATTAGTTAACCAGGTGGTATATATTAACCTTAATTGACTGTCAAATAACTATGATTCCACAGCATAGTTCATTTATTAGTGGGATAAAACAGAAGATGGGTAAGGATGAAGGTATTGCAAAGGCCACTCATTTACACCTCCTCCCCCAACTTCAGGGTGACCCTAACGGTACACTAATGAGTTCATTCATTTATTGGGCATTTATTGGGCACTTCTGTACTAGGACCAACACTTAGTGAAGGTGCTTTAGAATTGACTAAGACCTGGTCTTCTGTTTTCAAAGAGCTCATGGTCTAACAGAAATGGGGGAGTAGACATTTACAAAGTCTGAGAATGACCAATAGAAATTAGAGGGTCCAGAAAAAAATCTAGGAGACCCTTGTTGACACTTCCTTACTCATTGTGTAACAAGAACCTTCAGACTCATCAAAACCAATAAGTGAAGTGATTTGGAGAGAGCCTTTCTGTTGATGCTGCTGTTAGGAGGGGTAAAAGGAAGACTCTAAAGTGACTGGGTGGCCTATGGTGTCTTTTGGTGCCAAAAGCCAATCATTCTCCTGCTTATGGACTATCTGGTGCCCTGCCTGCTTCAAGAAGGATTTGTCTCAGTTCTAAGAGTCTGAGGTTCTAGATCAACAGGCTTAAGGCTGATACACCACCTGATCCTATTCAGCCTAAGAAGGAGCCTGAGGCACTTCTTTTTGATGTTCATAAGGAGAATTTGGGAGACACATTAGGATTCAGCAACAGATGACTTGAGATTTTGGTTTCTTCCAGCAGGTACTCAAAGAAGTAGGAGGGAGCCCTGCACTGTAACCATATGAGAGAGCTTAAATTATTCCTTGCTAATGGAAACTCTGACTAGCAAATACGGGCCTCAGTACTATTCCAGGTGTGATTGATTTTCAGCCTGTTTGATGCAGACCATTCAGCCTACAGGCCGGGGGCAGTTGTCAGTAACCTTGGCTGTATCATCTCTGGACCATTCAATTTTCCATTTCTGTGAACTCAGTCACCTTGGCAAATCCAATTCAGTGTGTAGACAGGGTATATTGACCTCTGTTGGCTGTGAGAGATGAAGATCAAGGACTTTGCCATGTTTCTAGGATGCAGGACTGGGAGTAGGACCCCATGAATTGGTGCTTAAGGTCAGCCTATTGGTGCTCCAGGTTCAGACCTGTAGGAGCTCAGGATTGTCCTCCTCTATACTCTTAGGAGTTGAACTCACTTCTGGCCCCAAGGCTGCTCTCTGCCCAACTCTTGTCTGGCTCAAGACCTTGGATGAGGTCACTTCCCAGTAAGGACCCTGGATCAGGAGTGAAGTGTATGGCCTTGAGATGGTCCTGCCCCCTCTGTAGGCCTCCATTTTCCTACAACAATGAAAATGTTGGATAAGATGAATAGTTTTTAAACTTTCTCAAGGACTCCATCATCTAAAGAAATCTTATATGATGCTAAATACATTATATATAGGTAGAACTGAAGCTTCTTTGAAAAAAGTGGAGGTGGGTAATCCAGTCCTTTGTCTACTTGGCCTCCTTTACTTGTAGTCCATAAAGGAGCCACTGAATTCTCAGAAGACTCAATGGGGCTCTGAAGAATGCAATTTGAAGGTTCATTAGACTAGATGGTGATTAAGGGTCCTCCAGCTTTGATGTTTTAGGATTCTTAACTTCTTAAAGTCACTGGACCTTACTCATCACAGACCCCAGGTCCGAAACTATCCACGTTAGCCATTATAATCACCCAGGTTGGCTCCAGAGTCCTGCCTGGCTTAGATGATGATGAAACTTCTGAGGGTTTCATTGGTTTGAGATTAGTTTTCCCAGGGACTCCTCTTCTGGGTCTTTCCAAGAGTCATGTCCTTTTATCTACTTACTCATTCCATGACCCCATACCCCAGCCCTCTTTCCCTTGGCCCTAGCTAGCAAGATGAAAGCACCTTCCTTTCAAAGTGTCCAGGTGAAACACCTCAGTATTCTTGAATGGACAAACTGCAAGCTCTGTCCCTTAGAGTGAAACCCCAGCATGGGTTTATGGCTGCTTCTGCATGACCAAGGAACCCTCTGTCTAGCTGAATTAAACACTGCTGGACCAAAACAGTCATGGCACTAGTGTGGGGTTTTCTGGCTCTACCAGGCAGGGAGAGGCTGGAACCTTCTGCTGGAATTTTAGATTTTCATGTCCTTTTGTGGGGACCCATCCTTCACTGAATAAAAGGGATGTGTTCTCCTTAAAAGCCTAGATACTGGGAAAACAGCCTCTGCTGTTCTGGTTTGTGGTCAGCTCAATGAGCTGTGCCTCCACGTCCTTCTCAGGTCAATCCCATAACCCAACAAAGTCAGTCTCCAGAAAAACTTTTGGAGAAAAAAAGCCACTTTATTAGGTTGTCTATCACAGCCCTTCACTCCTGGGATTGTCAGAATGGCTTTGGGCTGAAGTTTCTGATTGTCTTTCCTTCCAGTTTCTCCTTTTGTCCATGCCTTCCTGAGATTTGGTGTCCTCCGTGGCATCCAGGGGAGAGCAGGTGGCCCTGGGATCTTGGCCCAGTGCAAGATATGCTGGCAGCTGACAGAGGGCCAGGGAGTGGCCAGCGCCACATCCCACAAGGAGTCCTGATGCTGACTGCAGAAGCTGCACAGGCTTTGGGGCCCAGACGTTGGCTTCGGTGCCATCCCCACACATGCCATGCTCGTTCCAGCCCCAGGAGTGACACACCCCACCTGTGAAGAAGAGATGAGACTGCTGTGGAAGTGGGTTTGTATAACAGGGCTGAACACTCACCCGAAGGCGAAAGCGTCATCATAAACCCCAGTTCACACATGTAAAAGCCAAGGCTCAATGACCCTTGATGGCATGCTCACTGCCCCTGCCTCACCACTGCTCCCCTCTATGCCCCAGATATGCTTTTATTCCCTGTAAGGCCTTCCTATCTTTCAATGTCCTCACTTTTGAAGGTTCCAAATTTCCTCATTCTTTTGACTCCAATCTAAATGTCATTCCAATGCTAGGTTCACCATCCACCTGTTCCATATTGGATTTTTGCTACTGTCTTTGTCCTTTTTCCTCATGAGGACCCTGTGCTCTAAAGATGCACATGCCACACTTGTGCATATCCATGGGGTGATGTGTTTACTGTCCCCTCCTCACTAGCTCCACATTCTGTAGTGAGGAAAAGAGTGTGTGTTTTGCTCACTGTTGGGTCACTAGCATGGTGCCTGGTGCTCAGGAAGGGTTTGTTGGGTAGGGCCATGAACAAACTCAGACTTGCACAACCACAAAGTGGCCACACCAGCAACAGTCCAGGTCACTTGATCCAGGATGCTCCATCCTATCAGATCCCTCTCCTAGGAGCTAAGCACCTTCAGGTGGTTATTTTAACTTTTCTATGGTTGTTTTAACTTTTTCTCCTGGATATAAAAATAAAACATCTTTATGGAATGAAAAAAGAGAAATGGAAGAGTGTAAAGAAACGCAGGACTGCACAATCTCATCCCTCACCATGAATATTTGGTATCTCTCTTTTAAACCTTTAATTTGTGAAATTTTTAAATATTTGTGTACATTTTTATACTGCTTTTATCCCTTAACATTATACCATAAACATTTCTCCATGGACTTGTACATTATTAAAAAAGTAAATTAAAAACTAATTTGCTTGAAATTTTGAAATGATTTAATATGCAGAAAAGTATATATCCTCACCCAAACTCAGAACATGGGTTAACATTTTGCCATATCTGTTTCAATCCTTCCCTTAAAGAAAATAAAGTTTAAGTCCCACTTCACATTTTTGCCCCTCCACCCCGCTCTCCTTCACAGAAGTAACCACTGTTTTGAAGGTGGTGTACATTATTTGTATTCTTGTATATTTTTCAATACATGTGTCCTTAACTACTATGTAATATTTTGTCTTAAAGATCTCCAAAAATAGTATCCAAATATGTATCTTTTGTGTGACTTGCTCTTTATCCTCAGTGTTGTTTTAGAAATTTATCTGAGCTGATAGGAACAGATCTAGCTCATTCAGTTTAACCACGCAGAGTAGCTCATGTAAAATCCTATTCTAAAAATTCACTTCCCTCGAAATGATAGTTCTTTAATAATGATCACTGTTGCTACTTTGTAATATATCATATATAAAAATGTTACATAACAATAATACTAACATGCTTGCTATTATAAACAGTAATTCAATTAACTTTGAACAACAATACTTCAATGAAAAATTTTTAACATGTCTATTGGTAGAAATTGACATTTGTGCCAGGTGATCCCTAGAACCGTCCGTGAGTCACAGAGACTCATATGTTTTAACTTTAAGATGGTCAAATAGCTCTTTAAAGTCATTTGTACTCCCATCAGCAATAAATATGAATTTGTTTCTTTGTATCTTTGCCTTTATACTCTTGCTATTCTGATAAGTATATCTGATTGGCGTGCATTTCCTGCTAGTGAGATGGAGCACTGTTTCATGTTTCTTTGCCATGCCTTCTACAGATTACCTATTTACATCCTTTGCTTGTTTTGTTCTTTGGTTGTTTGCCTTTTTCTTATTGATTCTTTCTTTTGTTTATATAAACCCTCCTTCTGTTGTTATGTGCACTGCAAGTACTACAGTATGTCTCTTCACTTTGTTTATGGTGCTTTTGTTATACAGATTTATTTATAATGGCTGCCTAATTGCCCATTATGAAGATTAAACAATTTACTTATCTCCTATTATCAGATACTTAGGTTGCTTCTAATTTTTCATTATTTTGTATAGAATTGCTATAAACATCTTTATGCATGAATCTTTGTCACTCTAATTATTTTCTCAAATTAGATTCTCAGAATGGGAATTCCTGGTCAAAGGGTATAGACCTTTCTGAGAATCCTGTCAGAATACTTTTCAAAAAAGCTACTTGAATTACAACTTCAGCAATCTGGGAGTCTATCTCACTCTTGTATTGCCAGTATTTATTAATATTATAATATTTAAAAATTCTTTTCAATTCAAAGACAAAAAATGGTATCTCATTTTAATTTGAATTTTGATTACCATTGAAGCTGAAAAATAATTCTTATGTTTCTCAGATATTTGTACTTCCTCTTTTTGTACTGTCTGCTGTCTATCTTTTTTTCTGGTTAGGATAAGAGTTTAAGTACTCACACCCAACAATGAGCTGGGTTCAAATCGTAGCTAAACCATTCATGAGCTGGCTGTGCACTGTAGGCAGGTCACTCAGCTCTCAGTGCCTCTGTTTCTCCATCTGTTAAATGGAGGTAATGATAGTATCTTTCTTATAGTGTTGTTTACAAGGATTAAATAACTAAGTGACTAAGTATGTATAAAATACTTGGTACAGAGTCTGGCATAATATGCTACATAAGTACTTGCTTAATGCTGTTATGTCTTAAGAGCTTTGTTGTTTAAAAACTTTTATTTTAAGGGTATTAATTCTTCCTCTGTCATATTTGACATTAACATTTTTTGTGTTTGATTTAAATTTTAGGTCTTTTGATATACCTGTTTATGGTTCAATATGGTAAAATTTATTCATCTTTTATGTTCAATTCTTCCATTGCTAATGAGAACTGAGTTCATCTCTATATAGATCAGAAAATACTGTTTCTGATTATCTGATCATTTGAATTTTTAAATCTTTACAATTAACTAATTTTCCATTCAAAATTGTTTTTCAGACCATTCTTGCAAGAGAGGAAGGCTGGCTGGGCCCTGGGATTACCCTTCCTGCTCCTTTTCCTTAGTAGGAAGGCAGGCACTGGTCAAAAGCTTGGGTCTGGGGAAACACAGATGTCTACCTGTTTGGCAGGTGCAGGAGGAAGCTCACACAGAGAGGATGAGCCCCAGGCTGCATTTCCTGCTGCCAGGCCAGTGCTTCAGCCAGGGTAGAGTGTGTAGAGGAGCCTTGGTACCTTTGGGCCCAGTGAGGTACTTGGTGTGGGCTTTGTGCCCAGCCCTGGTGAGTGGCACAGCTGACTGTCAGCAGGGATGGGGGTGGGAGGAAGGCAGAGCTGACCTCCCAGCAGGACAAGGCACAATGGGCAGCTGGCAGGTCCCTTTCCTCCTGCCAAAGGGAACATGCTCTAAGGAAGCCACACTCTGGGCTGGGGTAGCCAGAGGCTCAGCGCCAGGACATTCATGCCCACTGGGTTGAGAAGCCTGTCAGAGGCCCAGGGATCCCTTTCTCAGTGCTTCCAGAGATAGCGTACTCAAGGTTATATTCTTTACATGCTTGAATTCTAACAGCTCTGTGAGCCACCACATTTGATAGATGATTTTTATTTTTAATACACAAGACTGGGGTTCTAGGGCCCAGACGGTAAGTCTCCAACATCTGTGCTAAATTCTGCATATTTTATATCAGGGCTTGCTAGACTCGCATAAAGTGCAGATAGGAAATGTTTTTGGTTCAAAGGTCACATTATGTCTCTGTCACATATTCTCTCTCTCTTTTTTTTAAATTTATTTTTTAGGTATAGTTGGACAAAATGCCTTTGTTTTATTTATTTATTTTTATGTGGTGCTAAGGATCGAACCCAGAGCCTCGCAGGTGTTAGGTGAGTGCTCTACCACTGAGCCCCAGTCCCTATTCCCCTGCTCTCTCTCTCTCTCTCTCTCTCTCTCTCTCTCTCTCTCTCTCGTTTATTTATTTATTTTACAACCCTTTAAAAGTCATTCTTAGGTGGTGACTTCACAAAGAAACAGGCCATAAGTCAGAGTTGATAGTAGTTTGCTGATCCCTCAGTATCGACCTAATAGTTCAGTATTTACTATGGACAATGCTATGCTGTCCTGGGTCCCATGTTACCACACAGCTGTGTGATAATGGCACTTAGGTCCCTACCTACCTCACAGGGTTTTCAAGATGAAAATTAATGCCCCAGCACAGAGTTTGATAAATGGTGACAGTTCACACCCATGTGGGAAGCCGACCACAGGGAGGGGAGAAAAAGGTAAGGAAGTCCACACCAGTGGCAAAAGGCACAAAGGAGAGGGCAGGGCCCAGCAGATGGGAAGGTGCAGGGTAAATGACAGGAAGTGTAGGTTTCCAAACGTTTTGAACAAACCTCCTATAGAAAATTACTAGGCAGTCAAACTTAGAAAGCAAAGAGTGGTCATCTCCTGAGCAGAAAGGCATGCAGAAGGACATCTTTAAGACATGAGCCCCTCTAGCATTTGAGAATAGGTCTGAACCCTGCTCCCCCCACCCCACACACAAGCACATCACTTAGCGCACTATGTCAGGGCACAGTGAGGATAGAAAGCCTGCTGGTGTGGCAAGAGACTGCCATGCAGGCTGCGCTCCGGCAGGCATGGAAGAAAGGAGCATGGCCTGCTGCAAGCCTCACCTTGGCTGGCTCGAGTACAGAACACCTAGTTTTCAAAGCAGGTGGGTGAGAGGATGACTCCTGGCTTTACAGAGGATACCCACCAGGTCCTTGAGGACACTAATGCCATCTGGTTGAAGGAGACTGGCTTTGCTAGCTCCAGGTCCCAGAGTGGGTAGAGAGCCCCATAGTTCACACAGGGTTCCCCAGCCTCTTGGAGTGAAGGCCCTCTATTCATATGGCTCGATCTGGCCTGTGACAAGTAATGGAGGTCATGACCCACCACATGCCTTAGCCTAAAAACACTACATGCAGTGGAACCTCAGAATTGACAGAGTCCCTGGCACAAGTTAGACATAATATCCAAATCTGTTAGGCCATTGTG